TCCGGCCTCCCGTAGCTTCGTTATGTCCTCCTCCGTGACGGAAGAGGCCATCCACTTGCCTCCTGCTCCGAACATGCTTGAATGACTTTGCGGAGAAAGTGAGGGCTTGGGCGCTAGAGCTCGAGCGTGCGAGAATGGATGAGCAGAGGAAGAAGAAGGCGTGGGTGAAAGAGGGGAATCCTTATCTCTTTATAAATGCGGTATAAACTGTGCGCCTCCCCACTTGCCCGATAAACTCGCTTATTCCCCAAGCGCCGCATCGATGGCGCGGTTGGGTTACCCACGCCCGTATTGATGAGAATCCCGTGATGAGGTGACATGATCTCTGCTTTGACAAGACGTGCCGATAAAACCGCCTCTCAATACGTGAAGTAGCAGGCTGGGAGAAAACGGTTAGTATAATGACCGGGCTGCGGCGTGATGTCACGCGATGAAAAGTTGTCAGCAGGTTAGATTTGTGGAATATTGTGCTCTCTACGGTGGTAAGTGGAAATTATTTTGCAGAGCTGGACACAATCCTCGTATTCAAGATCTTCTATGAAGTATTCGGAGATGGAACCCGCCTTGCAATGCTGAAGACAATCTGCGCGCCGGACTCATCGTCATTGAAGCCTTGTTCAGGGGCTACTGAGGGAGTCCTGGATTAGGGGGTCCTCGGACAGCCAGACTATATGCTTATGCCGGACTGTTGGACTATGAAGATGAAAGATCGAAGACTTCGTCCCGTGTCCGGATGGGACTCTTCTTTACGTGGAAGGCAAGCTCGGCGATTCGGATGTATAGATCTCCTTCTCTGTAACCGACTCTGTGTAACCCTAGCCCCTCCGGTGTCTATATAAACCGGAGGGTTTAGTCCGTAGGACAAGAACAATCATAATCATAGGCTAGCTTCTAGGTTTTAGCCTCTACGATCTCGTGGTAGATCAACTCTTGTGATACTCATATCATCAAGATCAATCAAGCAGGAAGTAGGGTATTACCTCCATAGTGAGGGCCCGAACCTGGGTAAACATCGTGTCCCCCGTCTCCTGTTACCATTAGCCTTAGACGCACAGTTCGGGACCCCCTACCCGAGATCCGCCGGTTTTGACACCGACAAGGGGGGCCGTCCCCCTCCAGATGGATCTAGAGGGGGGCAGCGGCCAAGGGGGGAGGCTTGCCCCCCAAGCCAAGGGGGCACCACCTTTAGGGTTTCCCCCAAACCCTAGGCGCATGGGCCCTATGGGGGTTTAGCACCCAGCCCACCTAGGGGCTAGTTCCCCTCCATATTCAGCCCATAGGGCCCTCCGGGGCAGGTGGACCCTCCTGGTGGACCCCCGGAACCCTTTCGGTGTTCCCGGTACAATACCGATAAACCCCCGAACACTTCCGGCGACCGAATAATGACTTCCCATATATAAATCTTTATCTCCGGAACTCCTCGTGATGTCCGGGATCTCATCCGGGACTCCGAACAACATTCGGTAACCACATACTAGTTCCCGTAATAACTCTAGCGTCACCGAACCTTAAGTGTGTAGACCCTACGGGTTCGGGAATCATGCAGACATGACCGAGACATCTCTCCGGCCAATAACCAACAGCGGGATCTGGATACCCATGTTAGTTCCCACATGTTCCACGATGATCTCATCGGATGAATCACGATGTCGGGGATTCAATCAATCCCGTATACAATTCCCTTTGTCAATCGGTATGTTACTTGCCTGAGATTCGATTGTCGGTATCCCAATACCTTGTTCAATCTCATTACTGGCAAGTCTCTCTACTCGTTCCATAATGCATGATCTCGTGACTAACTCCTTAGTCACATTGAGCTCATTATGATGACATTACCAATTAGGCCCATAGATACCTCTCCGTCATACGGAGTGGCAAATCCCAGTCTCGATTCGTGCCAACCCAACAGACACTTTCGAAGATACCTGTAGTGTACCTTTATAGCCACCCAGTTACGTTGTGACGTTTGGTATACCCAAAGCATTCCTATGGTATCCGGGAGTTGCACAATCTCATGGTCTAAGGAAATGATACTTGACATTAGAAAAGCTCTTACCAAACAAACTACACGATCTTGTGCTATGCTTAGGATTGGGTCTTGCCATCACATCATTCTCCTAATGATGTGATCTGGTTATCAATGACATCTAATGTCCATGGTTAGGAAACCATAACCATCTATTGATCACCGAGCTAGTCAACTATAGGCTCACTAGGGACATGTTGTGGTCTATGTATTCACACATGTATTACGGTTTCCGGTTAATACAATTATAGCATGAACAATAAACAATTATCATGAACAAGGAAATATAATAATAACCATTTTATTATTGCCTCTAGGGCATATTTCCAACAGCGGACAACACGGCGCTGCCCGACATGCGGGTGTCGGGCTCGTTGAGTCTCAGCGCCGGCGGAGTCCCAGTGCCACCGCCGCCCTCTGGTGCTGAACAACGCTCCGAGATCGCGCGGATCAAAATGTTGCTGCCGGAGCACGTGCGACAGCAGCCGAGGTACGCCCCCGACAGCCACAACCTGTGGACGACGTACTTCGAGTGCCGCCACGCCGACTAGCTGGCTGCCACGAACGACGCCGAACCCGGCGGGCACCACAACTTCGAGGGGCGGCGTCAATGGTGGGGCAACCCCGGGCGTACTCTCAAAGTCGTCCTCGAGCACATCGAGGCCGGCAACTCGCCGCGGATGGAGTACCCGGCGGCGTCCTCCTTCTCTCGCTGCCGCGGCAGTTCCTGGACGCCGAGGCGAATGGAGACGGCGTCGTCGTCCTCGTCGGGCTCTCGTTCCTCCGGGTCGTCGGCGCTCCTTCCTGTCAAGCCAGAGCCGCGGGAGACGCCGCTCGGGCGGCGCCAGCGGCCGTGTCCCTTCTCCTTCCTCCTCCCACCTCGTAAAGCCGAAGACCGAGCCGGTGCTCCTTCCCATGAAGAAGGAGCATGAGGCCATGGCCGTCGACGAGGAGACCGTCCTCAAATGGGCGCGGGAAGACTACGTCCGGCAGGTGATGGAGCGCCAGCGCCGCGCCCTCGAGGAGATCGCCGCTCAGCGTCGCGCCCGCGCGAGGGCGACGTCGTCATCTTCAACGACGACGACGACGGCGAGGCGCCCGGGCCGTCCACCCCCCCCCCTCCCGTATCGGCGACGCGGGTCAGGGGTGCAGCAAAGACGGCGGTGGCGGCGTGTAGGGCGACGACGACGACGACTACTACACCAACTTCTACAAGCTCCTCAACATGTAGAAGGCTTGGGCGGCGGCGGGCGGCGTAGTTTTTTTTTATGTCTTGTTTATTATGTACAAATACGAATGAAAGCCGTTGAATATTAGCCGAATTCGTGTCTTTTCGTCTAATTTTAGCCGAAGTTCAATTCAAAAAAGGGCGTCTGGGGGCGACCTGGGGCCGTGGTTGGGAACCCGACCGCCCCACGGCCAAAATAACGTCGGCTCGCCCCCAAAAGGCGTTATTTCTGTCACTGGGCACCGAACGGTTAGATATGCTCTTACTTCTGATGCTTGAGATAAGCTTTCAGGCACATGACTAGTGTTCTAATACAACACGAAAGGTGAGCAGTATCTGGCACAACTGCAACTTTTATGCAGAACCAAATGACGAATATTTTCAACGATGGCCCACCGTACAGAAACTGGGTGATGAAGCGTTGTGGATTGGGTCATAAAAGTACTCCCTCCGGTCCTTTTTACTCTGCATATTAGGTTTGTCCGAAGTCAATCTCATCCAATTTTGACCAAGTTTATATAAAAAATTATAGACATTCACATAACAACACCAATATCATTAGATTCATCTTGGAATATATTTTCATATTATATTTATTAGATATTATAGATGCTAATAATTTCTAATATAAATTTGGTCAAACTTAGCAAAGTTTGACTTTCGGCAAATCCAATGTGCAGAGTAAAAAGGACCGGAGGGAGTACTAAGTATAATATATTACTACATTTGGATTGGTGGACACTGGACAGTGACTATGCAAAGCCTGAAAGCTAAAGAAGAAAAGTAGCAGACGTGCGGTGAATGTTGTGGCTGTGTGTGTTATTTTAAAACAAATGTCATGGGTGTGCCATGAAGCACGAGTGTGAAACTCAATCGCAGTCAGCCTGGTACAGTACTCTCGTCCAGTTTTGGGTAAACCCAGTCGAATCGCGGTCTAACTATGCTCTGAAAATATTCGAGTTGGTCGTAGTGCTGAAGCTGATATCTCACCGATAATTTGATTTGGCAACCACTGCACCTGGCCCGGCCCTGACCCACCCCCTGGCGGCCTTTAATCAAGATGAGAAGCAAGCCACCCACTCCATCTTGCAGCACACAACCCAATCCATTAGCTAGTTACCTAGTATAATCAGTTACATATGGAGTATCTTCTCTTTTGAGAGTGCCAATTTACAGTGACACAGGCGATGCCATTCCACCACTAATCAGTTACCACTTTCGGTCATGTTCACACAATTCAGTTGTATGGTAACGCATCACATCCCACAATCATCAAACAAACAAACAAAAAAGATGTCACGTCCCATTGTCCCAAAGTCGAGCTAGAAAGGGGGAAACCCCGACGATGCACAGTCAGAGCAGAGCTTAGCCTAACGTGGACGCCGCATCCTACCAATGCGGTCGCGAGACCACATCCCCCGGCGCCGGCGGCTCTGCCTCTGCAGTCTGCGCTGCAACCCAATCCACCACCCAGGACGCAAGAGCGGCTAAGACGAGCCCAAAACCACCACTATTCTTGAGGATATCATATTCCTCTGCGTCCCGAGCTGCTCCCCGCGGCTCCAGATCATCACCATCATTGCGATTTATTCCCGCACTTTGCTTCTGGAGGCAGGAACCGCCGCCGACCCAACCACCTCTCGCGGCGTCCAGTTCACTGGTTCTTGAGTAGCAGGAGCACTTCTAGGCGCAACGATCGAATCTTTTCGCTGCTCCTGGTTCTCGCGGAGCTCTCTGATCGGAGCCATGAGCAGCACTCTGCTTCGGGTCTGCCCCTCCGAGCTCAAGATCCCCTGTAAGTGCCCCTCAAGAACCACTCCTACCCCTGCCTAATTCAGCGGCGTGGACTGATTTTCGTCTTCTTGCTTGTTCTCTGCCGCCCGATCGAGAAGACGAGGTCAAGAGGCAGCGATCGTGCTGCATGCAGCTCATCAACAAGACCGACAAGTACGTGGCGTTCAAGGTGAATGACTGAACACCCTCCTCTTTGTCCTCGCGCTCTGCTGCTACCCTGTCTCTGTCCGCGGCGCCGTTGGGTGGGAGGGTGACGGATTGCCATGGTTTCAAATTCCAATCCGCAGGTGAAGACGACGAACCCGAGGAAGTACTCGGTGCGCCACACCTGCGGCATTCTGCTGCCCCGGAGCTCCTGCAGCGTCACAGGTGATTCATCGCTTTGTCTGACTCTGACGACCGTTGTGTCATCGTTGCTGAAGCGCCGGGATCGGTCTAGTTACGATGCAGGCTCCCAGGGACATGCAGCTGGATCACCATTGCAAGGACAAATTCCTGGTGCAGAGCGCCGTGGCGCGGGACGGGGCCACCATGAGAGATCTCGTCCCTGAACTGGTAGGTTCATGTGGATGTGGTTCTCCTGCTGACTGATGGATGCCAGTAAATTCGGTACGTTTCTCCGGCGTAATGTGACCGTCGCGGTTTGTGCAGTTCACCAGGGCGCCGGGTAGGTTGATCGAGGAGTTCAAGCTGCGGGTGGTTTACATTGCTGCTAATCCCCCCTCACCGGTACCCGAGGAGGCAGAGGAGGAGGATGCATCTCCTCGGTCAGAGGCGATGATGGGCTATGAGGCGAAAGTATCATCAGCGTTCGGTGCTGTAAGTGATAACATTACTGTTCTTTTGTGCTGCATCAAAAAACATATCATGCATTTCTTGTGACCATGTGTTCATTTGCTTCTCAGGCATCTAGATGCGTAGATAATTCCGGAGCTAAACTTTCATGTACCAAGGTAATTCATTCCCCAATCAAAACACACTGCACACTGGCAAATATCTGAACACATATCAAAACTCATGCAGTTCTACAAATAAATATCTGAACACATTTTTCTGAAGTGTCTCGTTTGTAGATGGATAGATCGAATTCATTAAATACTGTTCATTGAGTTAGTACTCAGAATCATTCTGTGGATAACTAAAAAATATATCCATTTTATTATGTTGACCTATTTCTATTGCATGTTTTTGTTTAGGGTGCCTCTGTAGTATCGACGCTTGTTGGAGAAAAAGTATATACAAGAGAAGAAAATCAGAAAAAACTTCAGCAAAATATGGTAAGACCCGTTCAGATTCCTTTTTCTACTTCTTAGATGGTGTTCAATTATGGTACTTCAAATACATACTAATCTTAGTGTAACATCCAACATTATTTTCTTAAATCATGTTAATTCTCCTAAAATCCATAGTAGTATTCATGCAAAACCAATCGGATATCATCATGGTTCCAAAATGAAAAATGAAGGTAATAAATGTTAATGTTGGAAGATGATTTGCAATGCCTCGATGATATCCAATTTTTCAGCTATCCACAAGATGATAACATTGGATCTTCGACTTGACTAGGAAAACAAGTGTACCATGCCCAGAAAACATATATGTTCAGAAAGTTCATTCAACGGAGAATCTAAAGATATATTTTTTGCGGCCAATAACATGTTTTGCTAGTGAACTTGAAGACCTAAAAAGCGTGCCCAACTTACAACCAGGATAGAGGTAGTAATAATTTATATATTTTTGTGCTGATTGGGCACCGTATGAAATCACCTCCATGCCATTCTGACTGAGTTCAGTGACCACATATGTTAGGTATTGAAAGTTAAGTGCCAAATAATCAATTATTGAGAGATAATGACTCTACCAATATGTTTTTTAGGGATAAAATAAAGATGAAGCACTCACTTCACTTTTTTCAGTAGTGACAATCCAGTAAGACTATCAAAACTAAACCTTTGATCGATATGGTAAGCACCGACATTCGGTGATAACTCCCGCAAAAAAGAGATAATGATTAAGGAAAGCAAACTGGTAATATTTTCACAATAGCTACATGCCAATCGCCTGAGTTTCGAATTTTGGGTCAATCGATTTTTGTTGAAGGAAAAACAGGTGTAGGGGGGAAGCAACTTGCCGGAGGGGAGGAAGAAGCTCGCTGGGCAGGCTACCCCAGTA